GAAATCTAACGGTGCATTCAAGAGTTAAACCCAAATTAGTGAACACAGATCAATCTATCGAAAGAATGAGGGTATCTGAATTATGTAAATAAAATAGGAAATAATTTTTTTTAAATTTTTTTAATTATATTTTCGAAAATATGAGGGTAAATTTGAGTTTTGATTTTTAAAAAACCTATTTCACCAAACTTTTTATATAAAAGTATATATGGACATTTATCCATTAAAACATCTTTTATTTCTAATTTTCCCTAATTTATTTGGTTATCAAAATTTCCAAAGTGCAGTTATCCTAGATATTATTTATCCTGACAGAATACCATAATTAAATGTGTTAAAACTAAAACAATGGAAAGATCGGGTGACCTACAAAGAAGTGATTTCCATTATTGTGTGAGTGAATCAAAAACACAAAAAGATTAGTCATTAATAATATAGATTATTTAAACGACACTTTATGACAGTAACAACAAATAAAAGTAACTAAGCCTATGATCGGATAGAATGGTTGTTCATTGTAACGCAAATTGATACGGCGTAGATTTGGACATATTGAATTCTGGCGTGTATAAGTTTTGTCTCGTTTCGGGTCTTAACTAATGCAAAACCTAAATGATACAGTTACGCTAAACGGTTTTTATTACAAGGGGATTTGTTTTCTCTGTAGTCTTTTTCATTTTTTTTACAAAACAACGTGGATATTCATAGAGCATGGATAAAAAAAATTATTAATCAGAAAAAAACTAGCTCGTAGAAGTCCATCGATATCTAAACTACTATTCATTGTTGGCCAAATTATGGATTTATTTAGGGTTTACGGAAAAACATCTAGACAAGCGATCAACTTTTCTGAATTATCTATGATTTTCTGTAAGAGTTTTCTTGACCATGAAAAGAAGAACTTTGACTAGTGTTGTAGACACTTAAAAATAAAGAGGAATGAGATCCTATATAGGCATGCCGAAATATTTGGTGGAATGGAAAATTATAGATTTTAACTATGTAGAAGAAGGATTACAAAGCAGGATAAATGAATGGTGGATGAAATATCTTTCCAAGGGAGTAAATAAATATTGATCAAATTAATGGCTCTAGCAGTCTCAACCTATGTGATGCAATACTTTAAACATTTTTAGTCGTTAACTAGTGTGATAGCCAAATTATGATGGAGTTTCAATAGAATCACGGTCTCAATTAGATAGCATGAGACAATGTACAAATTATATTTTATACACGAAAACAGAGTAGGTTTCTAAGTTTTTAGAAAATTTTAATACGGTGTTGTTAGTAACGAGCTTTTGAAATTATTTCAATTGATAAATTTATTGCTAGTTAGAATGCTTAAAGATATATATTAATAACACACCCATCTTTTTGAGTTAAAAAATCTTATTTATCATCGTTTTTGATAAAAAAACAAAATATTCTTTCGGCAAAATATTTATCTGGTCCAAAATGTTCTAATGATGTTAGGCTTAGGGTTTAATGTTTTGATGTGGGAAGATGTATGGTTCCTATACTACTTTCTCTGGAAAGCGAGAGACAAGAGAATATTATTCACCTCTTATTAAAAGTTTTGTGTTTAATTAATTCGAAGATAAATCGCTTACATACCCTAATTCTTTAGATAGATCCGACTGATTCTCATACTATTCATGATTTTATCATTAATAAAATATAGAACTGGCCCTCAGCCCAAACAAAGGAATCTTGGATTTGCGGCCTGCAAATCGTAAAATTGTAAATTTTATAGTTCAGCGCAAGAGATATTAAAAGAAATTTCATACTATTATAGTTGGTCTAAGTAAATAAAAGGCTTGGAAAAACTCTAATTATTCTCATTGAACCTAAGGTTCATGGAAAGTGGTAGCACACAATTAATGAATGGAAGGTTGGGAAAAGAGAATTACTCGGAAAATAAAATGTTAGGAGAATGATTTTTGCAATAGCTTCGATCCAACCTTATGTTTGGGATGGATCTGCGCTTACTAGTGGATTTCTCATAGGATCCAAATGTTTAACAAAGAGTCTCTCACCTTTTAACTCATAAATGGAAGCATTGATGTAAGCTATGTCAAATATCCTTTTAGAAAGATGAATTGTTAGAAATTAAATTTGAAATGAATTAATATGTTGAGAAATATCTTTTTAAGAAGGATAAATTGTAAGAAATTTTGAAACAGACTTATGTTCAATACCAACTTATCATAGTTTCTTATGAGCGATCCGTTTTCCTAAATCTTTTAGACGAGTTTAGTATGTAGTGATAAATGGAAAAATGTCTTTAGTCAAGTGGTTTAATATTCACATATGTTGCCTTCTCCATCGAAGTTCAACTCTATACAGTCACATTACTCTGTATTTAGGGTTTTGTTTATGGATCAGACCTTGTCGATCTAAATAAGAAATCAAAAATATCTCGCCAAACAAGTCCACATATATAAGGGGAAAGTTGAGAAAAAAATCCCAAATTACTCACTTTAACCAAATTAATTCTCATCTTAGTGATGACTTGGCTAAATTAGGTATATCTACATGAATTATATATATTTATAATTCTTTTGATAGCTACGAAAATTAGATTTATTCCTTATTATATGAAGGACATGATTTGTTTATTTCTTTATTTATGGAATTTTGTTAAAGGTTTTTCTATATATGAAAATTTCTTATGTTGATAATTATAATATTAGAACATGAGGAAGTCGCTTTTTACTTGGGTTTACTGGTCTAAGACCTTGTTATGTGACAAAAGTGTTACATTGTTCGAGTAGCAACATCAGCGTTAATGCTGTGAAAAGAACATGAGGAAGTCACAGATTATAAGATTTCATTATTACTATTTTTTTTTTATCAAAAGATTTCATTATTACAAAATTGGGTTTTATACATAAAACTCTATCACCGATAGTTTTTTTTTTTAAAAAAAAAACCTAGAGTACTATGACTAGAAAATTTTACGAACATCATGTTTACGATAAATAATTTTGTTTTTCAGAGACTGACCACGACAAACAATTTTACCAACGTCACTCTATAATCTCTCGGATAAATTTACTTCAATAATCTGCAATTTAAAAATTGAATCCCAAATTTGATGTACATACACTAAACATTAGTTAATAACCCTTTTGACCAAACTCTAGGCGTTACAATTTTTTTTTATTATTATCCATACGAGCGTGAGTAAATGCAATAAGCTTAACAATTTAGTTGCGTTACAGGTCTCGAAGAAATGATGCTACTTGGCGTTAGAAGCGTTATTTTCACATTACCCATTTTTTATCCATATGTGCATCAGTGCATGTGCAAATGCAATAAGCTAACAGTTTAATAGCGTTACATTTCTCACAGAAAAGATGCTAATTGGCGTTAGAAGCATTGTTTATGCCTTTTTTTTTTGGTGTGGCATTAATTATGTTATTAACTCTAGTAGTTAGTACAATTATTACAGAGTTAAGTTACGACGTAACGTCTTTTTAAGTGAAATTTATTATTTCATTAAATGGACAGTGACATGTTTGCATGTTTGGCTCAAGTCTTTTTTTTGGGGTCAAAACACAAGTTTAATTCCACATTAAACCTTTGATTCATAATAAAATATAATTAAGAAAAATAAAGTTGGAAGTGACAGTAAAATATACTGCAAACTTTATGTGTATATAAGTATATATAAGATTAAAGACTTAAATTTCTTTAAAAATATCAAAGTGCATATAGTATATTAAATTTGTGGTGGGATCTAAACCACATCTTTTTTTAATATATATATATATACACATATATATAACTTATTCCATTTTTTACATTTGTTTGTGCGTGTATATATATTCTGAAATGAATAATGCAGTGGAACGGGGTTGGCTACATTTTGTTATTTTTCTCTATTTTCTTTTATTTATTATTATTTATTGCTATGTGGACTCCAATTATTTTGAGACTTTTTAATAAAAATGTCATGTCATGCTTACTTGATCTTCAGTCTTCTCCAGACGACAACTTTTTCGTTTTTTTTTTTGGGTTTTTACATCTTTTTTCGTTTTCATATGTGAAATGTTAATATACATATATGTATATACAAAAAAAATCTCACAGAAAATAATGATGCAACTATAAAGAGAGGTCTATTATTGAAAAATGAAATTGAAATATATTTTAAAAGGAAATGAAATGATATGCACAGATTTATACAAAACAAAGAGACAAAATATGATGGAGACGAGACGTAGAAAACAAGTGGGGGCGTAGAAATTGACCTTCTCGTGAGCCACATTTGGATAATGCTTCTTTATTAATCTCTTTTTCTTCCCATCTCATTCAATCTACATGTTTTATTAATTACTTGAATCATAAAGATTATAATTATCGAGTCTTTCTAATATAAGTATGTTATGAATGAAATGTCATCTTCGAGTTTTCTCGTTGAGCTTCTAGTTTCAAAGGTTCTCTTCGCAATCTCAAGAAATTTGAAAACCTAAAATTTCTACAAGAATTTGTACACACTATTCTAAGTTTTATAAGAGTTATATAGGTAACAAACATATAAAAACTTTCTTGGCTATACTAATTATAACTAAGCTACTCGTAATAATCAAGTTCGGTGATAGAAATATTCAGAAAAGGAAGAGAAAGTCAAACTAAGAGAG